TTTTCAAAGTAATCCACGGCTTAACAAACTCGTCCTTTGTTTTACGTAAGAAAACGAGACTGAACACAAGAGCTTCTAACAACACCAATACAGCGAAGTACGAAGTACCGCAATGCAGAACAACGACTTTCCAAAAATCTTTTTGGATTAGAACAATCAGAACTTGGAACACTTTAACGGACACGTTAGACTTAAGTATGGAAAACCTGGGCACGTTTAAGTCAGTAATGCAAAGATATTATTTTGCCGCATTGCAGAAAGCGTACGAATGTGATGATCCAAGAACATTTAAAACTATCTGCCCGAAATGCAACAGTGCAAGAACGTTAACCGAACCAGTGAACTGCTGTTTTTAGGCGTTTTAATTGTATATATGTTTGTGTTTTAATCTTTTGGGCCCACAGTAATTGGCTTTTCAGGCTGTTGTGGTTACCCAGCCATCAGTTTAGTGTGTTTGTATTTGTGTTTGTGTATGTGTTTATGTCTATATCACACAATGATGGAAAAGCAATTAAATTAAATTAAATTAAATTAAAAATCACTTACTCGAACCGTCCTGACCGCGTAGCTCAGTTGGAAGAGCATTGGGCTAGTATTCCAAAGGTCGTAGGTTCGAATCCCACCGTGGCCGGGCATAATTTTCAAGCTCGCCCGGTGTGGATATGCACTCAGAGTAACATCGCAAACATATTATTCACCTGAGTACACAACACCAACACAGAAAAAAAATTCATTATTATCCATTGACTATTGTCTTAATCGCATTCGACGCCACCGAAATTCGGCGTATAAAACGTACCTAAAATATTGCCAGCGTGTATATATAACTATTGACCTATATTATTGTATAGAGAATAATACATGGGTGTGCGGAAATACCAGATTTATTTCGAGTGTTGAACATGCTCAACACGAGAAATAAATCTGATATTTCCAAGCATCCATGTATTTTTAGAAATTAGAATATATTTGTAAAGCACATGATTTTTGAGCAGCCTCCCTTATATGAGTGAGATTTACAATTGTGTACAATCTAAAAAGATTATACCATTGTTTGTATATCTTTATATACCCTGTATACTGGTGCATAAATTATCACACATCCTAATTACGCATTCAGTAAGTTTTTTTAATTGACCGGGAAAAGCAAGACAAAATTTTGTTCATTTCTCGTTCAATTTTTAACCAAATTCAACCAAATTTTAATCAATTCTTCCTTAGCCGATGGGAAATGCATTCAAAAAATTTCGTACGGATATGTTTGGTATTTCTTGAGTTATCGTGCTCACAGACAAACACACACACACACACATACACACATACACACACACATACACATACACACACACACACACACACACACACACACACACACACACACACACACACACACACACACACAATACATATACAAACCCAGCGGATGATTACATAACCTCCTGGTCAAGTCCTTCACTGGTTCAGTGTGTTACTTAAAACAGGAGGAAACCATAACTTTACCGTTTTTATAAACCAAGAATGCCCGCTTAATTTTACTTGCAAATGAAACAACATTGTTTGAATTGTTACATTATTTTTGAACCTTTGATGAAACTGCTACCTTTCAACCAATTCATTCGCTTGTTAATGTCAGATATATATATATATAATTTACATATCAAAGAATTAAGGAAGCAAAAATTGAGCTACAAATATTGTACATGCAGTAACTTATTTAACAGTTCTGCATTTTCTGCATAGAACGCGGACTTAAATTGTGTTGCCATTAGAGTTGTAAATTATATCCTGTTTTCTTGTCAGTTCTTGCTCATGGGCAAATATTAAAGAAGACAGGACTTCGTAGACATCCAGGCAATTACTCCAATGGCTAAAATCTTTTTGAAGTGCGGAACATTCGAAATATTTCAATTTGCGATAATAGGGAGATAAAAAGATATTTTGTGGGTGTTTGTCAATCCGTTCATTCATTCGTTCATTCGTTCATGCATTCATAATTTATTTGATAAAGCAGGTTGAACTACAGATGTCAACTAAAAAGCTGATGTGGACCTTCCACCTTGGCTTCACTTTTTGGACTCGAGTTCTCACTCCGGATTTAATATAATATGGAGCTCACTGCTACACGCTACAGATACAGTGATTGCTCTTACTTACAGAACTAAACAAGAGTTAGACGCCTGGTCGATTAGTCCCTTACAAAGTTACAAGTCAAGCAGGCCAAAGGGGGAAACAAGAACTTTGTCACAAGGCTTCAAACGAGGAACTTACCTCAATTTTGATCGGATATACGATATACTCATGTTCTTTTCCTTGGAATTTTTTTAAAGGATAAGAGATAGAAAGTTGAATGGATTGTAGATCACTTTCGCCTGTATTTGTAAGCTGTAGAGTAAGAGGGAAAAAGGAATCAAGTCAAAGGGTAAAAGGTATTATCGAAAGACTTGTTTCTATATTTAAGACATTTCGATACATTAAGACGGTTTCTATGTAACCTCAATTAAAACTACTAAATATATCATGAACAATACTAGTATAATCTAATTAGCAGTAACCAATCAAAAAGACATTAAAATTTCTTTATCTGATAGACCAATGTGGGGAAGAGCCGAATTTTTGCTTTTTTACATGCGCCCAGACAAGATTTGTGTCAGGCCCCTTTTCCCTTCCATCCACCCGCATTCAAGGAAGGGAAATATGGCCTGATACTCAGGCCAACTTGTCAGATCAGAAAATTACGCAATGGCGGACAGTTGGGGTTTTATAACTGTGTAATAAAGAAATGACGATAAAACCCTGGTAGCTATGAACATATTTCCGACAAATTTAAGGTAATTCCTCAGTTTTGCATTACGCACATTTACTGCGCATGTCTCGTAATCGGGCCAAGATGGAGCCATATTTGAAAGAAGTGGGATATTTGCACGACTGAACGGTTTAGGAACTCATTTTTCTAACAAATGTTTTACAACAGTAACTTAAACTTAGTTTGTAGTCTGTTTGGATGTTTGTAAATAATTTTGGTTTAACTGCAGATATAAGTTCTGACCAGTTCACTGGTTCTGACGTAGTTTAACCATTTGGGTTGCAATATCAGTTTTTTGAATAAAATTCAATTCAATATTGTGCTTGTCTTCTGAACGAGTTCGGTGAGTTCGAGTTTTTTCTGATTTTCCTATACTGTAAGTGCATCGCAGACTTCAGCCCTGGCCCGCAAATTCTCATTTCGGAAACAACTACTGAGGAATCACCTAAAAGCAAAAAAAGTGCAACAACAAAGGGGTATTAACATTTTGAAAGCTGTGGATTTATAAGGATACAACTGCTTGAAAAATGCAAGCACAACGTCGACGTTTCGAGCGAAAGCCTCCGAAGAGTTCTCGTTAAATTCTCGACGAAGTGTCTTCGCCCGAACCATCGAAGTGCTGCTTGTATTTTCCAGCTAGTTTATCTCTCTCAATCTACAGCTTTCTCTCTGCACTCACACAGACCGTTCGTGTCAATATGTTGGCATTCATAATTACTCCCCGCCCCAATATTTTGCGAAGTGAGTGGATGTATGCAATGGACCTACCTCAAAGGTAACTGTGACACGTGGTCCAACCGCAGAAACGTTCACAGCTGAGAAGTCATTATTGTTTTTAATATTTAAAACAGGTGCAGTTGCTGGATAGTTCAACAGCTTCGGAACTGACGTGCTAAAGAAGAAGGAAACAATCAATGATATTATGGCACTTAAGGTAGCTTTCTCGTGATTTAAAATGGGATATCACAAATTATTAAGATTTATTACACCTCTATTAAAAGATTAAAAGTTTAAAAGTATCCATGTAAATAGTCCATAATAAAAGTATCTAAAAAAATTCTGCTGCATTAGCATTTACATTAAAATATCTTCGAATATGATCTGTAATACATTTAATAATTTGTAATATATACTGTAACAACAATTTCATAATACAAACCGATTTTAAACGCCAGATTGCCGAGGGGAACTGGATTAAAAACTGTGTTTCTTTCAGTTTTTGTGTGACAAAACAAAAGATTTTTAAAGTTTTTTTCTTCCTTTAAACGAGCTTATGATGCAAAATGGCGCCAAAATTAGTTCTACCAATTTTTTGGCGACGTCCGTGTTGACGTCGCTTGCTTAAGCTCACTATTATCAACACTTCCACAAGCGTGCAGAAAACGAACTTTTTAAATGTTGAACCTCTGAAATGATGAGTGAACAATAAAAAAGGGTACATAAGTGATTAAATTGTTAAAAAGTTGGTAACTATGGATGGCAACACTAATGGAAATAACACTTTATTTAACCTCAGTCAGTAGGAGGAAATTACTGTAAAAGAAGTGTACAATGTACCCGGTAATTGCCATAGCGACGTCACGTCTAACAGATATATAAGCAGTGGCATTGTTGTCTCTCTCATCTTTTTCTCGACCAGCCGTCCTAAAGAAATCATTTAAAATGATTATTACTAAAGAGATGCGACATTTTTGGCCCCGGAGACTTTCGTGAAGAAATTTAGCATGTTCGTGTTTATACGGCATAAATCATGAAAAGATGGGAGGCATCGTGAGCTCCGAAAATGTACGTAAGCCCGCAGTGGAGGACATTTCGCAAAATATTGGGGTGCATTTCCAACATATTCTCACCCTTCTATACAAGTAATATGTTACAACTTCGTTACGTAGTTAAGGGGCGGACCATTAGAAAAGTGATGGACAGGGGGAAATCACTTGAAACGGAGCATATATCTAGCAGTCCTAGTGCATCAGTAAATTATGGTTCAGGTTATACGTAACTTTAATTTCTATTATACCATATTATATGAAGGGGATTTATATTTATATTTGTAGTTAAATCTTACAGCCTAATGAAGTAAGAAATAGTTTTATATTGCTTTGGTTTCATTGATATAAATATGTTAATGAATTTCTTGAAATTGGAGACTTGATCTAAACCGGTCGGTCACATGTCCTGTCATAAAATGCTTTGATCAAACAGAAGGTAAAATGTGGGTGGACAGTGTCCGATACTAAGTTGCAAGCCTGCCTGTGTTCTAGTGGATTTGAGTTCACGGGGCAGCAAATGAAAGTGAACGTCAGTACTGTTGAAGTAAAGAAGTAAATAAAACTACACATCTCTCTTTGTCTTCAAATACAAGATTACTACATATAATAAAACACCCAACATTTTCTCACGTTCATGACTGCAAGTTTGATCTGCTGTTTCATTACATTGAATTCAAACACTCATTAATAATTCATATATAAGCTTATTGGCAAATCATGTCAACGATAATATGTGACGTGAAGAGGCTTTATACCTGATAAAACTCATCTTCATTAGTATTCTTTATATAAAACACCATCCTAATTAGTATTCTTTACATTAAGAGTACTAATGAGACGGCATCTATTGTAGTCGTGTTTGAAGCTATTCAAAACACTAGTATAGTCGTGTTGTATCATATCCTAAAATGCTCGTGCTGCGCACTCGCATTTTAAATATAATAAGACACTCCTACGCGTGTTTTAAATAGTACTTCAAAAACTCATTAATAATTCATAAAGCAATTATCCAATCTTGAGTAAGAAATTAGTCACGTGCATACGTCTTTATACCAGCTAAAGAACACTTTAACAAAAGACCATTGTTATGCAAACTATATAAAGATTTTTATATAAAGATTTTTATATAAAGATTTGACTTATTATGCAAACGTTTTTGAAGCCATTTAAAAAACGGTCGTGTTTTATTAGGTCTAAAGCCACTCGCGCTGCGCGCTCGTTAAACCTAATAAAACACTCCTGCTCGTTTTTTAAATAGTACATAAAATGTTCAAGATTAAAATTATAAAATACATACGCTATTGCCTTCACATTAATTTTTAACACAGGTTTGGTGCCCGTCACTTTCACAGTAGAGTATTGCAATCTAAAGGAAACCTGAAGAAATAGAATATGCTGTTATTATCGACCAAAGTATTGATTAAATATTATACAAGTTTTTATTATACAAATTTTGCTTTATGGAAACACCACTTATATTTATATTATTGCAACAAAAAAACAACGTAGATTATTATTCACCATGCAAAACTAAACGTTATACTAATATTTAAACAGAAGCGCCCATATTTTCCAAAGGAGTTTTTCAATGGGGATTGATTAAAACAACAAACACTGTAGTTTGGTAATACAATTACTGAAAATCAATATAAAAATACTGTAAAATCACACTTAATAATTGAGGAGCTATATGTTGAAGAGCGGGTAGACATCTATGTTGAAGACATGACTCAACCAATATTGCTCAAAATGCGAACAGACGACCGCAAAGGTATAATTGAGTTAAAATAATTAAGCTGTATCTATTGAAATCATTATAAAATTGCAAAGTCGGTGCGCGGTTGGCCTGGCGAGTAACTTGACATGAAGAAATGAAGCAACTCAAAATACACCCTTCTGGAAAATACTTAGCTTTGGCTATAAGGTCTCGTTTTCGGGATTGAGATATCGGCTTTAGAGACCTTTATCTTGTTAATGATGACTTCACTTTATAAGGTCTTTTATATCATTTAATATAACTGCATGATTTCGTAAATGTGTCCATGCATCTGTAACATGTAAAGGAATGAAACACAATATCTCAAATCACGAGGCTCTATAGGCAAGGCTGACTACTTTCCGGGAGGGTGTATAGTTAGTTAGCGATAGTACTTAAAACTGGTCTGCATGACTGCAAGTATCAAACATACCATTGCGTGCGAACATCTTGCGAGGCATTACAACAGATCATGAGAGCAACCCTGAGAATAATTATGATCGTATAGGAAGCCGCTCAGAAACCTCAGCGAATAAAATACGTGCCTCACCTCTTGATTCGTATCAAGCGGTCCTTGAATTCTAAAAATTTCTGAAACGGTCGCATTTACTGCAGGCGATCTTCTTTCAATCCTGAATTGTTTCTGTGAAAAGAAAAAATCACGACTTCGTTGTTCCAAAAACATTGCTGTTGTTTAACTTCTTTGCTATCTACTCTTGATATCGACCTGAGTCGCAGTTGGATCCAACGAAATTTACATAATAAACCCAGAGGTATGAAAACTGCGTAACACTCCAGAAAACAACAAAAGTTGTCTAGAACGGGATTCACATCTTTGAGTTTCTAGACCACCGCTCTACCCAACCAAGTATCGAGTCAATGGGGACTGCTACTTTCATCTCAAATAATATCATAGCTATCTCGAACTCCTTTGTCTCGCGAGATGCGATTAATGACTAATTTACCTCATTCCTAAAATATGAGCGACGATTGGAAACTACAAATCATCCCATGGGACAATCAGTTACCAATCGTCCCTCATCTTTATGCATATATCCTCTTTTTTATTGATGTTCAAAAAGACATGAAAAATCAACCGTAACCTCATTAATTAACGAACATCCCAATAGTCATTAGTATCAAAAAGCAAACGCGCCTTTTCATTATAACATAGTTTATTATTAGCATGACAAAATTACTGGATGCTGATTGGTTGAGAGGAGTACAATTATTTCATTAATTGTACTGCAGTACAATTAATGATTTTCCCAAAACAAACAAAATGGCGGAAAGAGATTTTAAACACAGATGTGAAATGAAATTGCCGTGAAGGAACTAGATGAAAATACGAACAAAAGCACCAAATTTTGCTTGAACAAAAGAACTAAATGAAAATACAAACAAAAACACCAAATTTTGGTTGAAAGTGTGGCAGAACCCTTTGGCGAGAGAATATGATGTTGACATTGAGAAGTACGTATTCAGTTTTGTGCTAATAATAAACAAGTAATCATGCGATGTTGCTCGTACAATTAGGGATTAATAGTACTCGTGATGTTTGGGAATTTGCCAAATTGGACTCGCCCCGGCGGCTCGTCCAATTTTGGCAAAATTTCCAAACATCAATCGTACTATTAATCCCTAATTGTACTCGCTATCGCATGATTACCTATACTAATAGAATAGATGGTTTGGAAACTCATTAGAATAACAATATAATTCATTATCTATGTTAGTCAACGTTTATTCATAAATATGGTCATTCCCCGCCTCGTGTGTATTGTATTTTTGCCAAATCCACCAATAGCAATTTCCAATTTACCCTATTGTTCGAGTCACGGACAGGTAACTTTCCTAAAACATTGCTATTGGTTTGTTGGGCAAAAATACAATACGAACGTGACGGTGAACGACCAGAGTTATGATTTATCTCGGTAGCTATGATATTACAAAGTGATAGCATGGCATTACGGTTGATTAGTTCAAATTTGTGCGGATTTCTATTGTTCTCAGTCGGGTTTTATTTGGGTAAGATTCTTAAAGCAAGGGGAGGGATTTGATATCTCTCCAGGGAAAAGTGGGGTTGATGAATAGAATTGAATTAATAATTATAAATTCACGGGTTTTATCTATATAAAACCCGGATTTTTGCGGGTTATATATATATAAAACCCGCAAAAATCAGGTTTTATATACTTAGATAAAACCTGGTGAATATTTAATCATCAATTGAATTGAATTCTATTCATCAACCCCCCTTTTCCCTATAGAGATGTCAAATTCCCTCCACTTGCTTTTAGATTCTTACCCAAATAAAACCCTATTGAAAACAAATTTAGAATCTTTGCTTCGACAAACCCATACACATATTGTTCGTTATAGCGCTTCCCACTCTTTCCAAATACGATCGAACTGCCCAGATGGTGTTGTGTCTTGTGCCTACAGTATATTCGGTATACGCTCAATACGCGTTTTTCAAGACTCTTTGTTTATCTCTGTCTAGTTTGAGCACTGCAAATCCCAATGGTTCGTCATTTGCTTGCAAAAATTCTCTTTCCATAAGCCTACATTTTCATCTGATTCCGGTTGCCTGGAAGCATTTTTTTCGTCGCTACATAGGTAGTTCACGTTTCAATCTCATTTTCATATGGACCCCATGGTAACAATCGTTATTCTCTTAATTCAATGCAAGTATTTTCGACAAAAAAGAGATTTAATTGTTTTTCAATCCTTACAAATTTGAACTAAGTCAGTTAATTACCTCGAACGTCGGTTTCTTAGCGAGATACATCCCTCGGGAGCGTTGCCCTCAGAAAGCATCCCTCGGGCCTACGGCCCTCGGGATGCTTTCTTCGGGACACGCCCCTCGGGTTGTATCTCGCTAAGAAACCTCGTTCTCGGTAATTAACTCTTACTTAATGACGAAATGTCCCTCAAGCCTCGAGAGGTTTAGTAAACTTTCACTAAACCTCTCTCGGCTTTCGGAACCTCGGGAACATTTAATCACTAACCGACTTGAATGACATATAGGCACTATTTGCTTGCCGAATAGTAATTTTATTGCCTCCCGCGTTCTATTTAGACATATAGTATAGGCATTTAGCTACATAGTGACCTAGCGCACGCGACAGAATATCACAGGGAAAAGTTGTTACATTGCGGGATTTTACTTCACGAAGCAATCGCATGGTAATACATGGGACATATATAAGCGCGAGTTGTCTGTGCGTGATTCATTCCTCTGAAGCTGTCATTGGAGCAAGATCTCAAGTCAGTTTCATCTTTCTCCCAAAATATTTTATCGAAGCCGTTATGATGTCATAAGATTCCTCCCGCTCGGAACGATTTGAACAGGTCACGTGGTACAGAACCCAGACAGCTGATTGGGTTAGCGAGTGACAACGCCCACTTTAATCCTACCCTTTTATTATTAGTGAAAATCACCGACGTTGATATTTCCTGTGAACCACGAAAGCTTGGGTTCTAACGTCAATAAATATGGCGGATTTTGAAAATATACAGTATTTGCATATATGTAAGTGTTTTATGGATACAGAAGCAAGATACTGAACAGTTCAGGTGCCGTACACTTTATTTTAACTGCTATTTAGAATTGAATTTGTCCTAAAACCCGTGATATTAGTGAGCTTAAGCAAGTGACGTTTTTGACAACACGAACAGCATGAGTAGCGTCAGAAGACTGGGTCAAGGACTGTGATTGGTGAGAAACGTCAACTTTACTTCCGGTCGACGTCCGTATTGTTAAAAACGTCACTTGCTAAAGCTCACTATTATTAGCTTATCGCAGGCGCGATAATTTATGTTCATCTTTGACATTAATTTATGTTACACGATGATACTCCGAAGGGCGACCGAGAAAGATCCGAGATTTAAAATACGGCGGAGAAAAAATAAAGAGGGGAGTGAAACCGCCGAAATATTATCCACTGATGCTGGTTGACTGTTGCTAGGAACATTTGATGTTGCTAGGAACAAACCGGAAACAAAATGAGACCTACTATTACGGGAACCACTGAGTATTTTTATATAATACAAAACAACGGTAACTCCGAAAATAATTTTTTTTAAATTTTCGGATTTACCGTTGTTTTAATATTTGACCTACTATAATTAGTTCAAGCGAGTCACAATAGAATATATTATTAAAATAGGGGACAATGGCGAGAGTTTGTATATCAGATAAACATCGGCTGCTCATGTTTTAACGTGCTTAAAAGACGACCCATCATATGAGTTCATTGGCGAAGTAATTTTAAAAATAAACATTGTCTAAGCCGAGAAAATCGAAGCTGAAGTTTATGTAAATGAGGACAATTTACAAATCTTTTATCCGATCGATTTACAAACATTGATTAAACATTCATTTCTTTTGAATATTCTTCATGAGTTATTAATACTGTACTTTGTGTCCAGCATTCGCAAATGTTTTTGTTTCTCTTCTGTCGAAAATTCACTGCTGGCGAGCAACGATGCAAATCAATTCAAGTTTTGATAGATTTGACAGTTCTTGATCAACTTCATGAACGAGCATGGCCAGATAACGAAATTGGATATACGCACTGTCATTGGCCAATACCCCATCACGTGTTCGGCCGTTTCACTCCCCTCTTTATTTTATATTTTTTCTCTGCCGTATTTTAAATTTCGGATCTTTCTCGGTCGCCCTTCGGAGTATCATCGTGTAACATAAATTTATGTCAAAGATGAACATAAATTATCGCGCCTGCAATAAGCTAATAATATATACCGCTTTCAACATTCAAAATGGCGCCCGATGAAAACATTTACATGTAATTAATTAAAAGGTTAGTATAAATTTACACAAATAGTTCTGGCGTGCTCCCTTGCAGAAACTCGACGAGTCTCTGCTTGTTTATTTCAGCATGGATTGTAAAATAACTTATTTTACAAAATAATAATTGTAAAATAAAGATTAACATTTTAATGATTGTAAAATAATTTATTTTATTATCCATGATTTCAGGTAGTAATATAACTTGAGAGCCTGTTCGCAGGCTACTCACTACTCAGCACAGCAATTTCACATTGGTACTACCTATACTGGTACAGACAGTTTTAGTGTATTCTGAACAGCTTGCAAGAGATTGTTGTCACCTGCATATCTAGAAATCATTTCCTATCAGTTCTTTTTTTAATAGAAAGGCAATCAAAAAACAGGACGGGTTCATGTTGACTGCGTGGCTTGACCACGTGCTCTTGAAGTTGTTGTCTGAAGCAAACCAAATTATAACTATTTAGATATCCAGCATCTAGCTTCTCATTTCTTTAATTTTACAATAAAATACCGTAAGTGAGAAATACCAATAGTTTTTAACGATAAAAGTTTAAAATGATTGATTATATAAAACGTCTCGGTTAATTTGGCTACAGATGTACAGTCATATAGGCAGATATGTTGTCTCTGGGGAAAAATTTCAATTGCCATTTGATAAAATTTATAAAGGCTTAAAAACTTATAAGGCTTATAAGTCGTTTAGATTATTGTTCAATTTATAAAAGGTGCGGCTTTGATTAATTTTAAATCATATAATTTAAATTATACCCGGGGTTGGTACCGAAGAGAAATGGGTTGGGTAAGCCATTTTTTTGGGGTATGAAGGGTTGGGTAAATATTTTTTGAACAAAGTCTATGGTTGGGTAAATTATTTTCAATACAAACCTTCAAATGAACAAAATATGAAAATCCTTTATTTAACAAAATGGGTCATTCCAGGAAATATCCATTCATTCCCCACAAAGAAAACTAAACTCCAACTCCCCATCCCCTCTGATTACAACAATAAGATATCAGGAACTTGGAGGCTTGGGAACATAATATGAACTTGTGAAGGTACGTACAAATGATTATATTTGACATTCAGTTAGTGCATGCACCAAATATGCATAGTACTGTTCATACTATAGCGGCCTAGCTTGTATAATAATATATATGTAAAGTACTTGTATAATTTTGAAATTGGGTTGGGTAAAATAAAAATCCAAGTCATGCAATAGTTGGGTAGGGAAAAAAATGGTTGATCGAAAGGGTGGGTGGTTGTTTTTTTCTCTTTTCGATTAGTTTCTCTTCGGTACCAACCCCGGGTATAAATAATGAACACTCCCTAAAGTATTTATAATATAGTTATTCATTAATACAAATGCTGGCGACACTACAATACAGCAAGTAGCTAGTTGTACTATTGCAGTGGCAGCCAACTTTTATAGCGCTGCATTATATTCTGCCCATGACTCATGAGTTTGTTCGTTTAGTTTGTGAGGAATCAATGTTACGCCGACTTTTAATTTTGCTCCGCCTTTTCTCTGGTTGATCAAGACAAAAATAACACCGTTCGAATTGGCGTGAAGTATTAAATTGACAAATTGTGTATGACTATTGAGTATTGTTTAGACTATTGAGTATTGTTGACAAATCGCTAATAAAAACATTCAGTACGTTCGACCCTTGGCCTTGAAACCTTCATATCGTTAGTTTTCTCCCTTTCAGCCGTATGTCAATGAATTTGTCTTAAATTTCTCTTCATTTTGATAGTATTTTGAGACCAAAATATCATATTTTGAGGTTTTAAAGCAAGTTTTGATCCAGCGTACGGGCGCGACAGGAGGAATGCGGCGTATACTTATATAAACTCTTTACTTGTCTTGGAGCCGCCGAATGTTTTATTCGTAGACCACCGCAGTTTAATTATCGCGAATGCGGATTTGAACCGCAGCTCATTCACAATAAACTCACAAGATAAAGGATAATATAGATATTTCCTACGCAATTATGCACGAGTCACTGTAAACCCCGACCCCCGCAGAATATAATGCAGAGCTATAAAGTTGGCAATGTGAAACCCCGGCCCCCACCCCACCCCCACTGCATTACAAATTTGGCGATTTAAATAAAATCTACATATTACGAAAGTTACCGAACTGTGGAATCGCATAAAAAATTCGTATATCGACCACTCCCACAAACGTCTACGACCGCGCCTACATAGTTTTGCATGTTTACAATTCTAATTTTGAACCGCCAATCGATGTTTAATCGTAATTGTTAGCAAGAACCTGATTGGCTGTTCAAAATTAGAATTGTAAACATGCAAAACTATGTAGTTGCGGTCGTAGACGTTTGTGGGAGTGGTCGATATACGAATTTTTGATGCGATTCCACAGTTCGGCGACTTTCGTAACACCTGTAAATGTTGAAAAGCACAAAAGCACACGAAGCTTCACTAGATGATAAAACGCCACTTGAGATGAACAACTGCTGAAAAATCGACAACTGGCTCATTACTAATCCCTGCCCAATCCCCATACCCAGGGGATAAATAAAGTCTAAAAGATTCAAATCCCCCACCCTCTTGGGAGTGTTTCCTGATCTAAACCCCTACCAATCCCCTATTAACCCCCACCTTGGCCCGGGGTGGGGGGGGGGGGGTCAGGGTTTACATTGACTCATGCATTATATACGTCTACTAGAAATACATGCATGCAGTAACCCTCGCCAATATTTTCCAAACATTAAATTAACATGAAGTATTCAGCAGTGATCAACACTGAACGCAGGCTCGCGCTCAAGCGTTGCCATGACAACACGATATTCTTAAATTTTTATTTTTTTTATATTTTTTGTACAAAAGTGCAAAATAGTAGAAAGATTCGTACTTTTAACTATACAACAATAAATTTCCGAAATGTATACTGTAGGTATTTTATTTTGCATTTTGTAAGCTTTGATTTAATGTAAAATTTAACTTGAAACGCTTCGTAAAATATTTTGAAATGTTCATTCAACTAAACTACATTTTGCCGATAAGCTGTTTTCACTCAGTAATAAAACATATTAATAAGTTATAAGTTTAATACAAATAAAACAAATTGTTAGGTAATTTCAGTTCAGTCTTCAAATCAATTTGTTCGCCTTTATATATTTTAAGATTTTTTTCTCAAATTAAACGGTAATTTATGAATCTTAGAGCTTCGTTGAAAATGAAAACAGTTCATGTTTTTAGGCAAAAAGTTAAAGCAACAAAATTCGTAAACATTAAATATTGAGAGGTCGGGAATCTTCGAGTTAAGCCCTTCGAGTTAAGCCCCTCGAGTTAAGCCCTTTTCGAGTTAAGCCCCGACCACGCCCTGTTTTGCCATGACCACGCCCTTTTTCAAAAAGGGCTTAACTCGAAGAACGAAACACGATTTGGGCTATCCGAGTTAAGCCCCGGGGCTTAACTCGAAGTTTGACAAAAAAGTTGTTGCTCGAGTTAAGCCCCGACTTTTGAAGTATGTCAACGAGTGCAATATTAAATTGTCAAATTTTCAATACAAAAAGGCCAAAACACAGAAATTTTCCCAAAAAGAATTTATATATCGCTAATGTAATACGATCATCAAAAACAATCACATACAACTATTTATTATCGTTAACAATATTTTAGGCTTTTCATATTAAATTAATATTAAATTTAACAACAGGTAATTACTTTTAGTGCATCGTTTATCCACAACAAAACAATATTTTAATTATAAAGTAGATAGAATCCTAATTCGTTTCTTTTGTTTCAATGTGCACAATCCTGAAGTTCAGGCCCTAATTTTAAATAGGGTCTGACACAAAACCTGTCTAAACTGTGGGATTCCCGTCCATCTGGTGGACGGGAAATCTGATTGGTTGATCAGCATCATGAAAGATTTTGATTGGTTGCAAGTTCATATAAACAATGGTTTTAAAAATAGCTCTGTCAAGGCGACAATTAAGCCGGTTACAGACGAGCAAGTTTTCTATGACAAGTTTTTATGTGACAAGTTTTATTTGCTCGTCTGTACGCGTCTATTTGCTAGCATGCTAGCTTTTGAACAAGTGCACTTGTCATAGAAAAATTGTTCGTCTGTATGGGTCAACACAGAAAACTTGTCAAAGTAATCTGAGCACTTGATGTGCCAGTGGACTATTGTAATTTTTCTGTCATGGCGGCGATAAACTTTTTCTGATTAACTTTTTTCTGACACATTCACACCAGTAAATAAAACTTGTCATATGGAAACTTGTCATAGAGAAACTTGTTGCATATACACACATGCACTTGGCAAATAAAACTTGTCACATAAAAACTTGTCATAGAAAACTTGTTCGTCTGTAACCGACTTAATTGTCGCTTTGACCGAGCTATTTATAGAACCATTGTTTATATGAACTTGCAACCAATCAAAATCTTTCATGATGCTGATCAACCAATCAGATTTCCCGTCCACCAGATGGACGGGAATCCCACAGTTTAGACAGGTTTTGTGTCAGACCCTATTTAAAATTAGGGCCTGAACTTCAGGTTACGTTTTAACCCCATATCCCGTTCCGTTCCGTTCCGCATTTTAACCCCATATCCGTTCCGTTCCGTATTTTAACCCCATCCGTTCCGTTCTCATCCGTTCTGTTCCGTTCCGCATCCGCTTCCGCATTTTAACCTAATCCAGTAATTTTATTAGCCAAATGGTCATAAATGGTTTCATTTAGATAAACAAATTATCACGGGAGAAATTGTTACATTTGTGTAAAATATCCAAATGTAACAATTTATCCCCGTAATATATATAAATGGCGCTACGTTGACTAGTATTAAAAAGAGAATATTTGCAGAGCGATTAGTAACTTTATAAACGAAATGGTGACGTAGCGCCATTATGAGACGTGAGTCTCTAGGCGCAAGTTGTCAAAGACAGATCATTCTGTAACGAAATTGCTTCCCTTTCCTCCAGTTTCTTTAGTTATTACGTGCTGTCATTTTCGATCATTTTCTTAATAGATTAGTTTTGTTCAAGGTGATGAGAGAAGGTTGCACTTTTTCTGTTACAGTAAAACTGTTAATTTGTCGATATTGTGCACATTGAAACAAAAGGAACGAGTTAGGATTCTATCTACTTTACAATTAAAATATTGTTTTGTTGCTGTGTTGTGGATAAACGATCCACTAAAAGTAATTACCTGTTGTTAAATTTAATATTAATTTAATATGAAAAACCTAAAATATTGTTAAGGATAATTAATAGTTGTGATTGTTTTTGATAATCGTATTACATTAGCGATATATAAGTTCTTTTTGAGAAAATTTCTGTGTTTTGGCCTTTTTGTATTGAAAATTTGGCAATTTAATATTGCACTCGTTGACATACTTCAAAAGTCGGGCTTAACTCGAGCAACAACGTTTTTGTCAAACTTCGAGTTAAGCCACGGGGCTTAACTCGAATAACCCAAATCGTGTTTCGTTCTTCGAATTAAGCCCTTTTTGAAAAAGGGCGTGGTCATGGCAAAAGAGGGCGTGATCGGGGCTTAACTCGAAAAGGGCTTAACTCGAGGGGCTTAACTCGAAGGGCTTAACTCGAAGATTCCCGACCTCAATATTCAAAGAAAACTTGCCGTATATTTCACGATTTCCCATGTCGGAGACTGGGAACGAACAGTGTTGATTTTGTCGAGTTAAGCACATTTTTGTGAGACTTGTGAGAGCGAAGTGAGATTTTATATCGAGGCGATTTCTATTATTAAATATAACTTTTAAACTTTAATTTGTGAGTGATTTTAAGCGAAGTGACGTATTATTTGTTGGGAATCAGTTTTCGAGGCAAACTTTCCTAACACCTGGCACCTCCGACGAAAAATATTGATGGAATTTGAGAATTATTTCTGGTTTTGACCTCAAGAGACAAAGTTTAGGTACGAATTCTTTTAATTTACTGGCGATATTTGTGGCGATATTACATAACGTTTGAGAGATTATTGTGCAAGGACTTGTTTACGTTCTGAACTGTGGGATTATATTCATATTTCGGCGATTTGTGGCGATATATTTCATATCTGTGAGCGATATATTTTCTGTGTAACTTGTGTACTGTGAAGGGTGTTACGGCAACCCGCGAGTTTAGCCTGCGACCAAGCTAGAGTGTGCGAAGTTCCGCCTACGAGATTCGGCCCTAGAGGGGCCCTCTAGAGGTACAGTGATTTTCAAACATTTGTGGTTTTTTGGAGTGATTATTAATAGTGAAATTTGGCAGCTGTTCCCAAATTTTAGTTGGCTGGAAGGACATTCTACAAGTGCTATATCTCATTGGCAAATTCTGTATACTTTATAATCATACAACATCAAACCTATTAATACTATGGCAACTGGGAACAGTGTAATTGAGAATAAGTTAGTACAGCTTAAGCTTATAGTTGGGCGAACCAAAAAGATTCTGGAATCCGGAAATCAAGAAGCAGTTGAGCGACAACGACGAGCTTTGCGAACCATTGTTGCTGACATAGACAAATGTAAAATGGAAGAAGAAGCAAGAATGATTGACGAGAAAAAGGAGTTGACAGAAATTAGTGAATGGAATTCAAACATTGAGGAAAAGTTATCTGAAGCAGACAAGGACATCCATGACTTGAGAGAATGGTGTGAAAGCAAGAAACGAGAATGCGAGGAAAACCAGCGGAAGCAAGAATTAGATTTTGAACATGAACTATTTCAGACACGCCTAAAATTCCAGAATGAGCTACAGGCAGCCAAACTAAAGCAAGAATGAGCAAGTGTTGAAAAGAAAGAGTCACAAGCAAAGTTACCTAAACTCATTATTATTACTAAATTTAATGGCGCCTACCAAGACTGGCCTCGATTCTGGGAACAATTCCGAGCGACGGTGGACAAAACAAGTATTGATGCTGACGCTAAATTCGCATATTTACAAGAGTTGTTGGAACCTAAAATCAGGAAATCTGTGGAATCACTACCTTTTACAAGTGAAGGTTATAATAGAGCAAAGAGTATCCTTCAAGACAGATATGGGAAACAATCAGAAATAATAAAGGCTTATACCAAGCAGATTTTTGATTTGTCCAAAATCCCGGATGGCAATGTGAAGCGAATTCATGCGTTCTCTGATAGATTATCATATGCGGTGCAGTCTTTGGAAACACTTGACAAACTTTCTCAAGTCAATGGGTATGTATCGATGACACTAGACAAACTACCTGGAATACGTGGCGACCTTGTTCGAACAGATGATGCTTGGGAATCCTGGGACTTTGTAAAACTGTCTGATGCGGTGAGACTCTGGACTCGGCGAAACCCAGTTGAGAAGCTTCTTTCAGGGAAGCTGCTTAATGTCCGACGTCAAGATTTTACTCACAAGGGGTGTGTCTATTGTACTGAGAAATCACACAAATCAGCAGAGTGCCCAAAAGTATCATCTGTGTCTGAAAGACGGTTGATTCTTACCAAACAACATCTGTGTTATAACTGCACTGGTTCATCACACCATGCGACTGATTGCCCAAGTCAGTCAAAATGTCAAAAATGTGGGCGGCGTCACCACACCTCAATTTGTGATAATGATTCCAAGAGTGGAGTGAAGGGGAAGAAATTGCTAATTTCATGTGAGGTGAATCCGGAAGGAATCTTTCCTGTTGTTAGAATGAAAGTGGATGGCGTTGAATGCAGAGCTCTGATCGACTCCGGAGCAGGGAGCTCCTATGCTTCTGCAAAACTAATTAATCTGCTGGAAAAGAAACCAGTTGAAGTAGCGAGGAAACGAGTTGATATGCTGATGGACTCTCAGGAAGCATTGTTGGAGACTTATGAAGCAGTTGTTGAAGCAGTTACTGGGGACTTTCGAATGTCCGTGAATTTGACAAAGATAAAAAAGCAAGAGCTACTATTCGTTGATAACCCATGTTATGAAGAAGTGATCAAGAAGTATCCACATTTGGGAGGAGTTGAAATAGTAGAAGATGATGTTAAAGCACAGCTTCCAATCCATGTTGTCTTAAGTAGCGGTGATTTTTCTCGAATCAAGACTGATGCAAAACCCCGCGTTGGTAGAGACGGTGAGCCTATAGCGGAGTTAACGAAGCTCGGTAAGTTTATAATGTCGCCTGGTAGCGAGTTTGACAAAGCTAAGATGTTCCTGACACAAACCACTCATTCCGATTATGAGCAACTGTGCAAACTTGATGTGCTAGGATTGGAAGATAAGCCAGAAAACGACCAGGAGCAAGTTTATTCAGAGTTTAAAGAGCAGTTAGTTCGCAATGGCCAAGGATGGTACGAAACTGCACTACCATGGCGTGAAAATCACCCGAATCTTCCAACTAATGACTTCTCTAAAGCATTTGACACTGTCGAGTATGCCACCGTGTTTAAGAAACTTCACAACGTCGGTTTCTCTCATGATGCAATCTATTGGGTATTGAATTACTTAACTGGGAGAAAACAGTATGTTCAAATTAATGAGAAACAATCGCAGGTAGTTGATGTACAGTTTGGAGTACCGCAGGGACCTATTTTGGGGCCTGTGCTGTTTAATTTGTATGTAAACGATTTGGAACCAGATTTGGAATGCTCATGCTATCAGTATGCCGATGATACGACCTTGTATCGACATAGCGTCCCTTCAAAGATACATGAATGCGCTAAGAAACTTCAGGATGCAATGACTGTGCTTGAAAACTGGGCAGTAGAATCAAATCTCGCCCTTAATGAGACAAAAACCAAACAAATGTTAATAACAACCTCGAAAATGTTCAGAGTACACGGACTTGACACCGTTGTTCCTGATATCAGAGTCAAGGCACAAACATTAGAGAAAGTTGAAGAATTCAAACTTTTAGGCACATGGTTTAGTGATAACCTCAAATGGGGATGTCACATAAAACACGTAACTTCATCTTGTTACGCAGTTCTCTCCACCTTAAAGAAATTAAGAAATCTTACACCATTCCATATCAAAAAACAGTTGGCAGAATCTTTGATACTTTCAAAAATATTTTATAATATAGTCGTCTATCACCCACTACCCGCGACCCAACTAAAGAAACTACAGCGCGTCCAAAACGCAGCCGCAAGCTTTGTAACCAACAAATACTGTCGCATAGGAGATGTGTTGTCATTGGGATGGCTGCCAATACATGAAAGAACCGAACTTGAACTTATGCGTTTCGCGCACAAGTCCATATGGGATCATTCCTGGCCTCAATACCTGAGATTAGAACTGCGTACTAACAATCGACTACTTCGATCAAGTAATGCCCCATCGTTAATGGTACCATTGGAAACAGGAACATTCCAGGATTGTTGTGCGAAGATTTTTAATGAACTACCTACACATTTGAGAAATGTTCACGATTACAGACCCTTTTTGAACACACTCAAAACTCTCCTTCTGAATAAGGCTCGAGAACGAATCGAACATTTATAACATTTTAGCTATTTGATTCAATTTTTAGCTTAACTATTTCATATACATTAATCTCCTTTTACTATTTTTCCAAATATCATATATACATATATATTTATCTTAGTTTAGGTATTAAGGATGTAGAGCTACCATGTAGATATGCCTTAATAAATTCGTTATTATTATTATTATTATTATTACTAATGAGAAAGGAAGTATCAGTCGCCTCAATAGTTTGGTACGAAAACTTGAGCGGACAGACTTTACAACGCCTACGACCAAATCATACGAGATCAGTTAGAAGGAGGTATTGTTGAATCTGCTCCAACTAAAGCCGAAAACCAGGAATTCTACCTTCCCCATAGAGCAGTTGTAAGAGATAAAGCAGAAACAACGAAGCTTCGGGTTGTATATGATGGTTCCGCTCAAGAAACCCTATCAGCACCCTCACTAAACGACTGCCTTAATCCAGGTCCTCCCTTACAGAACCGGCTATGGGATGTGTTAATTCGACAAAGAGGTTTTATCCAGTCGCTGTTAGTGGAGATATTCAAAAGGCATTCCTCCAAGTACGCATTAAGGCTGCTGAACGTGACGCTCTAAGATTTCATTGGAAACATCCTGGGGACAATCAAATACATATCTACAGGTTCACTCGTGCCCTCTTTGGGTTAACATGCTCACCCTTTCTCCTCGGAGGAGTTATTGATCAGCATCTAGAACTTTGGCGTGACAGGAAGCCTGCGATAGTGGAGGAGCTAAGGAAGAATTTGTATGTTGATGATCTATTATCTGGCGGAAACACTGTTGCAGAAGCTCGTGTTAAGAAGTTAGCAATGACCGAAGTACTGGCTGATGGTGCTTTCAAGTTACATAAATGGAATTCCAATGAAAAGGAATTAGAGGACGGTGAAAAAACTAGCAGTGAGTGTGAACAAACATTCGCAAAAACACAGTTAGGTGTGGAACCGAATGAGTCCAAATTACTCGGTCTTAAATGGGAAAAGGATGAAGATACCTTGAGTGTTGTGTTCCCAAGTGATCCACCAGCGACTACTAAGCGTGGAATGTTGAGTAAATTAGCAAGAGTCTATGATCCTCTCGGATTAGCTTCGCCAATCACCGTAAGCGGGAAGATGGTATACAGAGACGTATGCGATTCGAAGGCCTCGTTGGGATGCAGAACTCAGTGGTCAAAGTGCTCAGGAGTGGAGTATGTGGGAGAAGAGAATACCCTAGTTAGTAACTGTACGACGGTCACTGGCAAAATTCCAAGAAGATATTCATTCAGTGACTCTCCATGCCTTTGGAGATGCTAGCACCAAGGGCGTAAGTGCAGCCGTGTATTCAGTAGTGAACCAACCATCAGGGACAACTCAAACCTTGGTGGCTGCGAAGTCTCGGTTGGCGAAACGCAATCTCACGATCCCACGATTGGAGCTTACTGGTGCTCATATGGCTGTTAACCTTCTAGCAAATGTCCGTCAAGCATTGGACCGCTTCCTTGTTGTTGACCAACACTGATGGCTCGACAGTACCGTTGTGCTATATTGGCTGCAGGGAAATGGGCGATACAAGCAGTTTGTTCAAAACCGTATGAACAAAATCCACCAACATCCCAACATCTCATGGCATTACGAACCAACTAAGACAATCCTGCAGACCTTGGCAGTATAGGAACAAATCAACTAACCGATCAGTGGATATCAGGTCCGCAGTGGTTAACGAACCAAGAGGAATGGCCCAAAAGCCCAGTCTTGAAGCCGACGAAAGAGAGGAACAACTCGAGCGAGTGT